GAGCCAAAATCAGACTAAAACCATGGGGTTTTTTACTCCTAATCTAGCACACTTCCCAGCATTTCATTTATCCTGCTTTTCACAAAAACACTTATATTAAATACCTTTTGGAGCTACACTAATAATTGATCTTCAGAATAATGACATTAAGATGTGCTATAGGATTCTCTGTTATCAAAGAAAAATTTCATTCAGTTCAATAAACTAAACTAATTAAAGCAGAGATGTCATGGTATATTATTATATTATATTAATATATTTAGAAAGATTTCCAACTAAAAAGACTTTCTGCTTTTTCTTTAGTTAACTAGAAAATTAAATTAACTCAGAGCTCTTCATTCCCCAAAAGTCCTTGTTAATTAGGATTGTTCTATAAATCTCTATTATTAGCAGAGTTTGTCATCTGTTTCATTACCCTGTTTATTAGGGCAGTCTGAGCAGGGTGTCTTTGCTCATATCCTGGTATGTGTGTCCTAATGAAAAGAAAAGCATTTCCTGGATTCTCATTTTGTTCCTATTCTTTGACATAGGCATATCTCATGCAATTAGCATAACAACTTAGTTTCCTTGTATCAGTTCCCTATATAAAGTAAGAATGATATTATTGACTTGGCTATTAAGCAAAGTAATTAAATTTAAGGTCTGTTTAAAATAAAAGTATTGATGCTTCACAACATTGTTTATGATAATAGAGGAATGAAAATAACCTAAAAGTCCATCAGTAAAGGACTGGTCAAATAAATTATAGTATATCCATACAATGGACTATTATGCAACAATAAAAAAATAATGAGAATATTCTCCGTTTACCAGTATAGAAAAATCTCCAAGTGAAAAAAATATGGCCCAGAGCAGCCTCAATAGTATGATACCTTTTTTTGGGGAAAAAAAAGGGGAAGGAGGGGAATAAGAATGTGTTTTGCTTGCATATGCATAGAGAAATTCTGGAAGCAATAAAAGTGATAACCAGATTGTAAGTAAAAGGAATGGAAACCAGCTAAATGGGAGAGGGGGAAGAGGGAGATTTTATAGCATACCTTTTCATATTTTTTATATTTTTGAAACATGTGAATATATTACCTATTCAAAAAGTTAAAAACAAGCACAACTAAAAGCAATATGTGATTTTTGCAATATGTGACTGAATCCTGTACTGGATGAAAAAAAATTACTATGAAAGATATTAAGATAATTAACAAAATTGGAATATGGACTATAGATAAAATTAAAATTTTTTTCTAAATTTATCAACTATACCCTCGTTACCTAACGTAATATCCTTCTTCTTAAGAAGTACACACTGAAGTATTAAGGGATAAAGGGCATAATTTATGTAACCTATGCTCAAAAGGTTTGGAAGAATAAATAATACTATAGCTATATAGGAGGAATGATAAAACAAATGTGGCAGAATGTTAAAAACTGGTGAATCTGGATAAATGTTATATGAGAGTTATCTGTATTTTTCTTGGAACTTTTCTGTTAGTTTAAAATTATTTCCAAATAAAAGGTTAAAAAACAAATAAATGAAAACATTAATACTTTGGAAATTACCTCATTATAAGGAATGGTCAAGATACTGGAGCCTCTTATAAGAATCTTTAAGTGTTCTCGTTTTTCCTAGTCATACTTTTCACTTTCTCGTGAAGTTTTTGCTATCACTTTTCTCTCTTCCATGCCTGTTGATGCTGGATCAGAAGCAGTGGCAGAGCTGGTGACTACAGTCTACCTTGAGATTAACAAACACCTATCTACCTGCCTTTCAACCTGCTATGGATCTTTTCCAGTATATATTCTTTACAATTTAGGAGGACATCAACAAAACAGTAACAAAATACCTTGAACAAAATTTTCTGAGGATATAATAATCATGAGGTTATATGGATATAAATGTTAAAATATATAATTAATTTAGTGGAGGTGAAGGTACAGAAACATTTAATCTAATTGTTCAGCACTGAGTGACTGAATTTTTATTATTTTTCAGTTAGATACTGTATTTGTACAAACTTAACCATCTCTGCTATTATTGACTTGGCGTTGTATAATAGATGCATGAAGATGTTTTCATTGTAGCTAGACTGGCCTCTTAAGTGATTAGGTAGTGAAGCTTGTCTCATAGTAAAGTGAAGAATAAATTATTTGTTTGTATAGACTGCCTGGAGAATGTATAAGATTGATTATTTTGTATTCTAAGTAAGCTAAATTTCATTGTTTTGAATGACGGTTACCCTGAGGGTCTTAACTGATAAATGAGACAAACAAAATCTGGTATCACCTGAATTGTTAGTGCTTGTTTCCTGTCTGCTTAGGGAAGCTCATGATTTAATGTGGTTTTGTAGAAGTCTGAGAAATAGGAATAATAATTATTCCCAATTCTTTTCCTTCTCACTTTATGAAGAGTTTGCAAAGAATTGAGAAATAATTGCTATGACTTATCTTAAGCTAAGTGGAAGTACTTGATCAAAACTAATAGTGCCATTTTCTACAATTAGGGCAGAAAGCTAGTTTTTACTACTTGTTGCCACAGCTACACCAGGCACATTTCATGCCTAAGAAAATTGGTCCCCATGAGAGTCATGTGAGTGGGTGTCTTGGGCTTCATTGGCTGAAAATGTCTATGCCTATAAGCATATCTTCAGATTTAGTGAATGTACTTCATATGTTCATATAGTAAATTGCCTAGAATGGCTATGGGATAGGTCATGCTGGTGAATGTTATTTAGTTAGTTTACTTAGTTGTGTGATTTTTTTTTTAATAGCTCTGTAAACCAGCTTAGATCATCACATTTCAAAAAAATATAACACACCAAAAATGTAATTGATTATAAATAGTATCGAACATTTTTAAATCCTTCTTCCATGATTGAGAACTTATTTCAGGATCTTGCAGATTTCCAGGGTCATTATTTTGAAAGGAGTTCTCATAGTGCTCTAGATATAGAATATAATGAAAACTGAGCTGTATCTGTACTGAATTTGTGACATCTTTTGCATACATGATATTTTTATATACTTATTTGTATAGAGAGTATAAAAGGGGGAAAGCAATTCTGCTTTACATATCAGGAAATTGCACTTCAGATAACAATTAAGAATAAAGTATCTCAATGATCTACACATACATCCAGAAAAAAAAAAGTTTAATAAAACTGCATTTATTTAGAATTTTCAAGAATTTAGACCAAGAAGTCATGATTCTTAAGAACAAAGTTCAAAATAATCTCTTCCATTGTGAATTAGGTTTTATAAAGATTATGCAATCAAAAATGAATAATTTTTTCAAACAAAGAACTCAGGGAATTATATGTAATTGTGGCTTACTTATGATTTATGCGTAATTATTTTCAAATCTGTAAATCTAGTAATTCTTATCTAAAATGTTTTATAGACATATTATTACATAATGTAACCTATTATAAAGAGTAATGGTGTCATTAACTTAGCTCATTTCACTTATTTAATGCCTGTTTGTTCTTATATATAATAGTTTATAGTTGTTAGTTCCCTTTATAGTATGGTTTGTACTTGGAAGTAATAAAACCAGATTTCTTTATAAATATTTATGGTACAGACCTTTTCCTAAATCAGACTACAGCCCTTTCCCAATTACTTCTAATAAAGTCTGCTTACATCTTTTTTTCTTTTTTTTCTTTTTTTTTTCTTGGCCTGTGTAACAGTATGTATTACATACTCCCTAGAAAATTTAAACTTGGATATTTATGCCATAACTTGCAACTAATCAAAATCTTATTAACTGCTATGTAGTCCCTAGTGTTACAAAGTGTAAAAAGTTTAGTTACTTAAAGAGCTTAAATAGATGCTTCTGGTATGGAGTTTTTTTAGCATCTATAGTCATATAGTCAAAAGCAATCACTAAGTAAATGAGTCCTCTTCTTGAATATCAGTATTTCCAGTAGGATCTTTTTTTTGTTAACATATCTATGTTTATCTCTTGTTGAAAGTATCCATTAATAGCAGGTAGCAAAAAGCAGACAGAATATGCTTTTTGAGATTCTTAAGGTTCTCAAGATTGCCTTTTACCTCTTGATCTTCAATGAGATTGAAGTTTACAAATTTTTAGCCACATCTGTCCCCATACAGATGCAAACTTGTGATTTCAAAAGTTCCAGCCCCCAATAAGAAACTCTATCCAATCATTTGCAGATGTCCTCTAAGCCATATTTCATCACAAGTAACTCCATTCTGCTGTTATGTGCCACGTTTAAAGCATTAAATTAGGTTACTCTATAGTCAAAACAACCAAGCCCTGGTCCAGACTGCTCTAGTACATCTGGAGCACTGTCCTAGAGCTGGCTGCATGGTCCCTTCTGTTCTGCCCAGGCATTTAGTACTATCTTTCCCTTTTGCTGGTTGATAGTGACTCCTTTGCAAAACATAACTAGATTAGGTTATTTATAATCAGCCAACTAAAATCAGTAATTGTTGACATTGGCATGAACTACTGTAACAAAATAATAGTAATGTTTTTATTGTGCCATTGTGATTTTCTATAGAGAAACACCCAAGACTCATTTTATATATATATATATATACATTTTTTTCCCCTTACTGCTGTTTAACTGTGTCCTAAATTTCACTGCCAGGAATGCAGTCAGGCTTAAAGCTTTATTAGAGACCCATGATCCAATCCATACAAACACTTCCTATAGCTCATAGTTTCTGTTCAATCCTTTGTACTATCCAAAATGGTATTGCTACCATTTACAGCCATTCCAAAAAAATGTGAACTACCTAGGTATGTGTAACTCTCTCACAAGACACATACAGCAGCATCTATATGCTGAAAATTACAAAAAAAGTATTACTTGCAGATGACTTTGCACCTCTGTTCCCAAGTGCTCACATACAGAATATGGAGCCCATGTCCTGTCTCTCTCTTTGAATGAGTGATGAAGGAGCTTCAAGCTTTACTGGGTGATTTTGTATTGAGTGTTGCAAAGAGAAGTCAGTCTGCCTTTCTTTGGTTGTAATTGCAGATAGTGAAGTCACTGCTTTCCCTGTCTTGGATCAAGACCAGAAAGAAATCATTGACACCAATGGAGCTGGAGATGCATTTGTTGGAGGTACAGACTAATTTATTTCATTCTTATTTATAAGTGAAACGTTTTAACCCTTGTTCTACCACATAATCAAGATTTATTAATTTAATAACTTTTAATTTCTTCTTTAATGTTCTTTCCATATGCTATCATTGTAAGTATTATAAGGGGATTTTACAGGAAAAATATGTGTTTTGCAAAGATAATTTGCTATTATGCTATACCCTAGTCATTTTCACAAGATTAATTGTATCTGTCAGAAAATTGCATAAACAAGCTGCATCAAGTACAGTATATAGTATTCATAGCCCTTCAGGCTTAAATGTTAGCACATTTTTGTTCTTAAAAACAAGTTGTGGTGAATATTAAACAGCATGCTAATAACTAAGAACGATGTCTTTGGATGATATCCTTTGGTTAAAACATCTGCTTCAGGCCGGGTGCGGTGGCTCACGCCTGTAATCCTAGCTCCCTGGGAAGCCGAGGCGGGTGGATTGCTCAAGGTCACGAATTTGAGACCAGCCTGAGCAAGAGCGAGACCCCGTCTCTACTAAAAATAGAAAGAAATTATCTGGACAACTAAAAATATATAGAAAAATTAGCTGGGCATGGTGGCGCATGCCTGTAGTCCCAGCTACTTGGGAGGCTGCGGCAGGAGGATCGCTTGAGCCCAGGAGTTTGAGGTTTCTGTGAGCTAGGCTGACGCCACGGCACTCTAGCCCGGACAACAGAGTGAGACTCTGTCTCAAAAAAAAAAAAAATCTGCTTCTAACGCAATAGTGGGTGTTTATTATACCAAGAAGAGTTAGATTTTTGCCTAATTTAGGCTCAGTAAGAACTCGCAAATTTTATAAGGACTAATCATTTTGGGAATGCGTACTCAAAAATAAGATCAAGACAATTAGAAGATTTTTGGCTTGATGACTTAGATTGATCTAAAATCTAATTCAGAAGTTCTTTTGAAAAATGCAAATTTCTTCTAAGTGTAGTTAATTAAGCTAGGATATGGTCCCTAGAAGGCTTTAGATTCCTGAAAGATAGCCCAAAGGGAGATTCCTGATCTCCGTTTATTTCTCATAGCATGAAGCAAGACAAGTCAAAAAAGGCAAATGGAGCTGGCCATTGTCCCCTTTCCCTAGAAGATAATTTGAATTGTGGGGAATTTATTTAAGTTTTTGTGATGGATTTAACTTAATATTGTTTTTTAAAAAATATTCTTTTAAGTCCAGGCACAGTAGCTCACACCTGTAATCCTAGCACTTTGAGAGGCCGAGGCAGGAGGACTGCCTGAGGTCAGGAGATCAAGACCAACTTGAGCAAGAGCAAGACCTCATTTCTACAAAACAATAGAAAAATTAGCTGGGCATGGTGGTGCACACTTGTAGTCCCAGCTACTGGGGAGGCTGAGGCAGGAGGATCTCTTGAGCCCAAGAGTTTGAGGTTGCAGTAAGCTATAATGACACCACTGCACTCCAGCTTGGGCAACAGTGCAGGACCTTGTCTCCAAAAAAAAAAAAAAAAATTTATTTTAATGGTCTTTTTACTTACATGAATTTTTCATTTTTCTTTCTCTGGAACTATTCATGCCCTGTCTTAAATGAACTGTGAAGATGCCCCATGCCCTATATTCTTTGGTAAGAGTACATACCACAGATAACATTCTTCTTTACCATTGTGCTTGCATTTTTTATTTCCTTGCTCTGAAAGCCTTCATTATTGGTAATATTAGAGTACTTTGTGGCTAATTTTCCTATTCCATACTCTTCAGAGCTATACTATGCAGGCTAAAAATATTTTATTCTGAATTAAGTCATATTCTGTAATACATTAAGGAAACACTAGTAATTTCTTAGTTAGAAATTGGTTAAACCCAAAATCTTAGTCTAGAAACTTTTAAATTTGTACCCCGTATGTGCATTAACTTTTTAAAATCTTTAAACAGTAAATATTCTATTTCTTTGACATTCAGTGAAATACCAAATGAGGCCATCATAGATATGATGGTGACCTAATTAGTTACTACATCTGGCCCTGGGGTCCTGGGCTTCCTGGCCCTGCAACAGTAGTTTTTTTTTTTTTTTTTTTTTTTTTTTTGAGACAGAGTCTCACTGTGTTGCCCGGGCTAGAGTGTAGTGGCGTCATCATAGCTCACAGCAACCTCAAACTCCTGGGCTCAAGCGATCCTCCTGCCTCAGCCTCCCGAGTAGCTGGGACTACAGGCACACGCCACCATGCCTGGCTAATTTTTTCCTACATATTTTTAGCTATCCGATTAATTTCTTTCTATTTTTGGTAGAGACGGGTTCTCGCTCTTGCTCAGGCTGGTCTCGAACTCCTGAGCTCAAACGATCTACCCGCCTCGGCCTCCCAGAGTGCTAGGATTACAGGCGTGAGCCACCGCGCCCGGCCTAGATTTTCTTATAGACACCTACCTATAATGCTACCAGTACAAGGCAAGAACATACAGACTTTCTGAGGGAGAGGCCATTCTTAGGAGACAACCATTTGTATTGTGGCTAGAGTGATAAACTACTTCATCAAAGCAGTTGTGATTTTTGTTAGAGGATTTTCAACCTCTTTTTATCCCACTCCACTTGCCTAACCTCATTATATTTATTGTTAGGGTACAGTTAAGTAAGTAAAAAAGCAATAGAATGTGGAACAGGGGTTCTCAACCTTTTGTTTGTAAAGGGTCGGAGAGTGAATATTGTAGGCTTTTCAAGCCACGTGCTGTATTGCATAGTCTTCTTGTTTTGTTTGCTTGCTTGCTTTTTTTTTTTTACAAGACTTTGAAAATGTGAAATCTTTCTTAGCTTTCCAGCTGTGCAAAAACAGACCACAGGCCAGATTTGGCCCACAGGCTATAGGTTGCCAACCCCTTGTGTAAGCATTGGCACCTTCCTCACTTTATTCATCTCTGGCATATGACTCCAAACACTGGATTTCACTACACTGTTGAAATCAGAATAGAGAAAGTAGAAGGCAGGCATAAATCAGAAATTGGTAATTCACTGGTAATTCTTCAGTTAGATAGCCATTTTTCTCACTTTAAACCTACTCAGTTACTTGGGGTAATAAGATCCTGAAACACCGGGTCGTGCATGCAATGAGATGAACACCCATGTCAGTTTATCAATGAAATACTTATGTTGGCACATTCAGCACATTCTGTCAATGTGAGTCAAGCTACAACATAATTATTGATGAGAAAACCAGGGTAAAGATAGGTTAGGTAACATGCCACTGGTCTCATAGCTGCAGGGTAGCAGAGCCAGGATTCACACCCAGGCAGTCTGGCTCCAGAGTCAATGCTCTTACTCACTGCACTTTATTGCATCTCTAGACATTTAGGGAAATATCGTCGTTAGAACTGAGAACCATAGACCAGCTTTCCTGACAAAAGCTGGTTTCACCAAAGAGAATCTTTCTATTATCTGAATAGATGACTTCATTTATTGAAGAGGGGCTTTTGTTATGTGATAGGGTTCTGAGGACTGTAGGGTAAGATTGTAGCAGAAAAGAAAGAAACTGAAAGGGAAGAGAATCGAAGAACTGTGGTCCCTGGTGAATTTGAACCAAGAGCTTTTCGCTAAGCAGTAAAATTGATTGCACTACAGAGATACAGAAAGCCAGATCATAAACTGCTTGGTTAGCATGGACTCTAAATAAGGGAAGTAATGTGAATCAACTGTTTAATAGCACCAGGCTAAGCTACCTGATGCATGCATCGTACAATAGAGATGGTCTATTAATACCAAAAAATCCATTGGTTAAAACCCCCTGCTCCCATCTCCACGCTGGTGAGAGCCTTTTTACTGGGAATAAAAATAACGCTCCCATCTCCACGCTGGTGAGAGTCTTTTTACTGGGAATAACAATAACTCCAGCTGTTGAAGTACTCCCTCTACCTTGGACATGAATCTCCGGAGAAGCAGTGGCAACTTTTACATTTACTATGTGGTTTCTTTTTCTTTGCTTCATTGCCCAATTAACATATCTCCTTTCTGATTGACATATTCTATATTTGGGTAGTTAATATATTCATCCCGTTACTTTCAAGTTTTGCTGGCTTAAGAGTATTTCTGTCTTTTCTGACTTTGCATATCTGTATTCCAGTCTAATTTATAGTAATTTAACTCTCTGAAGGACAATAATTTTCCTTCCATAAATTCCAAGTTTTTGGATAAAGCATCACTCCAGCTACCATGTACTTAATTACCTATCCCAGTACCAGAGTGCCATGTGTTCCTTTTAGCCAGTTAAAAGATATATGACTACATCATGGATTTTCATGTATAGTTTTAAAATGAGTACCCCAAATGTACATAAATTAAATTCATAGTTCCATCTCAAGGATTTAGTGACAGTGACAAATCCCTCTAGCCTCTACAAGCATACCTCCTTGTCCTATTTAGAAGTCTTAAGCACTTTATAACATTTGCTCTTTATTTGTCGCTGGCCAGCTCTGATGGAACTAATCTTTTCACATTTTTTCTCAAAAGCCCAAGTGTTAGGATTGTACCCTTGGAAATGGAGACAATTCTATAATCTCTAAGTATGATTTCCTAATTTCGCAGGTCAGGAGAAAATTTCTTCCTGTTGTCCTGCTGTGCTTTGTCACAGCAGGTCTGCCTTTTCATTTGGAACCCTCTTTGTCACTGCCATAGTGACAAATGGAAACATTGAGAACATTTTTGTGACAGGCACTGTCATTGTTCCTGGTGAAATCTCTTCCCCTGTGTTTTCCCAGTAAATGAAACTGTGAAGAAAAATCATAACAAATAACATGAAAGGAGACCTAATCAATATGTTCCTGCTGGGCTGTCAATACCAGCCTGTGTTAATCTAATATGATTTAGTCGTATGTTTTATGGCAGCTGTAGGAATATGGACTAGACCTACAAATCATCTTTAGACTAAGAGTAAGAACACCTTTGACAGATTATGTTCAGGCACATACATACAACTCCCAGATAAAAGACTAGAAACCTCACCCAAGGACCAACATTTTTAGGATTAAAAAA